CCCAAATTAATACAAGTCAGAAAAGTCTGGCAATGAAATGAATGAAGTCCCCTAATACCTGGCCAATTTTGTTTTCTAGAGAAAATATATTATTGTATTAGTCCATTTTGTTACTATAATGAAATACTTGAGGCAGGGTACCTTCTAAAGAAAATAGTTTTATTTAGTGCAGTTTTGTAGGCTGCAAGTCCAAATAGCTTAGCAGTGGCTCAAGTGAACCCCACTCCTTGCCTCATTTCATAACAGGTGTAATTATGAACATACACAAGGGAAAGATTACATTGTAAGACAGCCAAAGGTTGGGCAGAGGATAGGTTTATTCTTTCTAGAACAACTCTCTCTTGAGAATTAACTCTGGCTCCCACGAGAACTACCTTAAACCCTTATGGGGAGCCCTAAGACCCAATCAACTTCTGCTATGACCCACCTCTTAAAGGTCCCACAACCTCTCAACATCACCGCTCTAGGAACCCAGTTACCAATACATAAACAGTTGGGGGGCAAACTCTATTCCAGAGTTTCAATTTTCTCTGTCAAAAGGAAACAGCCCAACTATAACAAACACAAATTATATTTTAGTAAGAGTTAGGGGCTAGGGATGCAGCTCAGTCGCAGTGCCTGCCTGGCAGCATGAGGTCCTGAGTTCATTCAATTCCCTGTACAAAAAGAAAACAAAACAAAAAGATTTAGCTACAGACAAAATTTATTTTTTCAACCAGTACATTTTGCTGAAATCACAAATAATCCAGGATATTTCCAAAACAATACAGACCAGATGATCTATATATAGATTAGAGGGACTCTACAATTTTCAATTTAATATACATGATGGCTCAGTGAAGTAAGTGCTTCCCCGGCAAGTGCAAGGGCTTGAGTTCAATTCCCGGTTCCAAAAAAAAAAGATTAATTCAAACTGGGGGCTGGTGAGATTGCTCAGTGGGGTAAAGTGCCTGCTTAGGCAAGCACAGGGACCACGGTTCCATCCCTGACACCACATGCCGTGCCAGCCCCAACCCCCAGGGCGGGCTGAGCTGCCCAGAGTCTGGGCGTGCACACCAGCAATCCCAGCGCTGGAGAGGCTGAAAGTTGGAGTCTGAGCTGCATACTGAGACCCTGCAACAACCAAATACATTAAAAAAAAAAAATCCAAACTGTTTAACTGAAATAATTAACAATTATTTTTCTTCTTGAGTTACATTTTATCAACTCAATCCATGTGTGGTTTATAAATTCCCTCACAAACCTCCTGCAAAATAGAAAGTTTCTTTATTCACATGACCTTACGAAAGTGTAATGATTCATTGAATGTATCTCCACAGTATTTTTCACAGGCCAAAAACAGTAACAAGTCAGGATATGACGTTACCTAACATAGAATAGCCTATTGGAAGCAATTCTCACAAACAGAATAGGTTTTATAGTGTTTGGTTACAAGTATATATTTGATTAGTCTATTTCTTATAGACTTAATGTTTGTGTTCCCCCAAATTCATCCTGATATCCTACTCCCCAATGTGATATTAAAAGGTGAGGCCTTTAAGAGATAATTTGTTCTTGAAGGTAAAGACAAGAGAGCTTTTTCACTCTGGCTGCTTTCTGCCATATGAAAATACAAAGACAGCTCTTTGCAAACCAGGAAGCTAGTCCCAGCCCTCACTTGATACAAAATCTGCTAACTCCTTGGTATTGTGCTTAATATCCTATAGAACTGAGATAATGTTAGTTGCTACCCAGTACACAGGAATTTGTTATACCAGTCCTAACTATTGTCAAAATGATATTGAGGGCTGGCCAAATAGCTCAGCGGATTAAAGCGCCTGCCAGCAGGCTCAGGGGCTGGGGGCTGGATCCCAGGGCCTGCCTGCCGACCCCGCCCCCAGGACACGCTGAGACAGCAATCTAGACTGGGCGCAGTGGCGCACACCTGTAATCCCGGCTCTTGGGAGGCTGTAAACTGGTGGATCTTTACTAGTCTGATCTAGTACTGAGGCCCTGAACAACCTGCAGACCGTTTTCTAAAATAAAAAAAAAAATAAAAAAGATATTGAGTCTGCATTTTACTATTTCATCAGTCAGGCAAATTAAATTTCTAAAATCTTGCTGTGCATGACGGTACACATCTGTGTTCCCAGCACTTGCAAGGCTAAGAAGGAGGCTTGCCTCAAGTTCACTGCCACCCTGAACTACACAGGGAGACTGTCTCAAACCAAAACAAAAATAAACAAAACCTAACAAGTGTTAATTCTACTGTATAGTTGCACTTAGAGCTATCACCAACTTCCTGAAAAACTTTAGTCCTTTGATAAATTACATATCATCTATCTAGACAAGTACAGACGTTAAACATGTAAGCTTGTTGGCAAAAGAGCAGTGACAATTTCAATTAAAGAATTTAGGCCAGCAAATAAGACTACCTACAAGTTGTAATTAAGGATAATTATTTGTCTTCACAAAATGGATCACTTTTAAACATGTAGAAGGTTCCGCCCTGAAACATTTATCCCTTAAATTTTAACCCTAGAAGAGCATGACATGAAATCATGTCCAAGTATTGGATGAATTCATGTATTCTTGGATGAAATTCAGTGTAACTTAGAAGCAGTGACAACCCAATGTACATATCTGTATAAAGAAATGTTCACTTGTTTTGCAATTCAGGGACATACACTTGAAAAAGCTTAGATTCAGTTATTGTGCTTGACTATGTGGCAGTACTACTGGGTACTAAGTATTCAGTAGAGAACAGAACAAATACTGATTGTCCTTGACTTCAGAAAGCTACTATCTAGAGAGGAAGGCAGACTTCAGTCATACGTTAAACCAAATTACAGAATGTGCTTATTGCCCAATCGTATTGCATTTCTCTTAGTTGCTTCATGATCAAACTCATTTGAATTTTCTGCAGAGAGAATTTTAGGCTGTTTAATCATCAAATATCAGATATAGTTGTATCTGAGTGAAATGACATACAACAGTAGACAATTCTAAAACATGAATTATAACTTTTTTTAAAAAAATAATTGTAACATTTATTTCAAGAAGTACAAAATATTCATCCATATACACATGCTGACAGGGTAACTTCTAGAAAAAAGATGCACTAGTAAAGTTTTTCTTGAACCCTGTTTATGACTTAGTCCATGATGGTGGAAAACACATATCCCAGCTTCACAATTTAAGTGTGTTTCACCCTAAACTTGAATGCAGATGCAATGTAAATTTAACTTTTTGATCTTTGGAGTAAATACAAATTTATAATGACCTTCATTTGTATTTTAAGATTTGCATTAAATTTACTCGTTAATCTTTAGTGCAAATAATTTCCAGGTAGTTTCTCTGCTACAGTCCAGTGGAATGTATGTAAAATACTGAAGACTTTAAAGATAATACTCTGCTTCTAAGATTTTTTTAAGCCTTCCTCCTATTCAAACACCGTTAAGCCGGGCATGGTGTCGCATAACTATAATACCAGCTCTCAGGAGGAAGAGGCCAGAGGATCCTTGCAAGTTCAAGACCAGCCTGGGCTACAAAGTGAGCTCAAAGCCAGCCTGAACTACACAGCAAAAGCCTTTGCCTGGGGGGGAAAAATCCTAAGTGACTGCTAGTATTCCAGCTATCTTCATTCCTTTTTCAGAGATAACACTGCCGTTTATATATTTAAATACATTGTTTTTCTTTTTAAAATTTTTTTTCGTCTTTTTATTTTGGAAATATTTAAGCAACGTCTGCATTTTAAACATTTATTTCTGCACTTATTCTATGCAAACAAATGATCCGAAAGAACTTGAAAAGATTCCGAAATGGTTTGTAGGATTTCTTCTCCCTACCTCGACTTACAGAAACACATAGGATGCCTCTGTTCTTGCTCCTGACCAGCGCGGCTAACTTCGCATAGCGTATGAGGGGTACCAGTATATTTTATTTTAAAATATTGCCTTATACTTTTCTGTAACTTGAAGTACCTTCTTTTGTAGCTTGTATTATTTCTGCCTCTGATAACGATGTTTCTGATAAAGATGGCATCCTTAGAATTATTTTTTTTTCCGCAAAAGAATTATAAAGCTATGTGACTGTGTTAGGTGCGCCACGGTCCCCGCCTTCAAAAGTTACTACGGTATTTTCCGGCGGCCAAGCAGCTGCTTCAACTTTCCAAAACGAAATTCCGAGGAAGTAACATCATCTTCGCCGGACCGTCAGCTCTTCCCAAGTTCCTACCTGTTGAAGGTACTTGGTCTGCAATTAACCTGTGTCTTCCGATGGGCCCGTTCCGCTTCCGCCGTCGCCGCTCCGTGTTTCCCGGGGCACCGGAGCTCCCGACAGACAGCGCTGACGGCCTGGCCCCGGGGTCCGGCCGGGCAGGCGGACGCTGCACTGATGCTGCCGCCGCGGCGTGTGGCCGACGTGCGGCTCCACCCTGCAAGCGAGCCGAGCGCTCCAGAATCTTCCCGGAAGGGCAGGCACACTGAACGGAAAAGAACATTACTTTAATTCCGCTTCCACCCTGGACCCCCGACGTCTGGGGTCGTACTCTCATCCGCTGCGAGCCAACTTGTTCCGGCCCTGTTGCAGGGCCTCTCCTCCTTCCTCGAGCCCCTCGACTCGACTCTTCCACCGCCCCTCCCGCCCCCCAGTCTCGGGAGCCACATGGTCACCCCTGGCTCGGCTCTAACCGCGCCCCGCCCCTTCGCCCTCCCGGCCCGGGGCCCTTTCCTCCCAGCGTCACTCTCTTCCCCTTGGCGTTTGCTCTTTTCGTCCCCGCTCTCCATTGCCGCTTCTGATTCGCTGAGCGCACCGGAGCCCGGTTGGCCAATCGGCAAGCTCGGCTGGCGGCATGGGCGTGGCCTCGACGCCGGGGCCTTCAGATCGAGGCTGCCTCCCCCTTCAGCCGGCTGCACATTCCGCCGCCGTTGCCGCCCGGCTCCGCAGTTGTCTTCACTGGAGCTGCCGTCGCGCTGGGGTCAGGGCGGGGGGGTCGGGCGGGGAGAGGAGGAGAAGGCCGCGGCGGAGGTTGGGGAGAGGAGGAAGGAAGCGGCCGCCCGGCAGGCGCAGCAGCTCAGGCGGCGGCCCGGTTCCTGGGAGTGTCTGTGCGGCGCGGTGGTTGGGGCGGATCCCGCGGGGCCCGGGCTGGGGAAGGAATCACCGGCCCGGCCATGGCGGACAACGAGAAATTGGACAACCAACGGCTCAAGAATTTCAAGAACAAAGGCCGCGACTTGGAGGTAAACTCAGCGGGGCCGCGGGCCTCGGCCGGTCCCTGCCGGGACCGCGAGTGTGGGAGTCGGGGCGGGCGCCGCCGCGGGGCCGCGGGGCATGCATGGCGCTGAGGCCGCCGG